GCGCGCTGCCGCCGCCGCCGCGGGGGGCCCGGCCGCCATGTTGGCCCTGGCGGCCGTTAACGGCCGTTAACGGCCGCGCGACGTGAAGCGACGCGGCAGGTGCTGCCCCGCGCCAGGAGGCTCCCAGGGGGTTAATAATTAAGCTAAAAGTTCCCTTTTATTTTTAAGTGGTATTATTTTTTAATTGGCATGCGTGGCTCAGGCGTGTGAGCGTTGGCATTGTGCACATAAATATTAAAGATCGTGGTTGTGAGGCTCCAGCGACAAGCCCCAGCCTGGCGGCCTCTGAGGAAAAAAGCCAGAGCTCAGCTCTGCTGCTTTTCTTCACTTTCGGATGTGAATCCTGCTGCTGCGTGCTGGTTTCAGAGCCTTTTCCAGAGCCAATCCATGTCCCCACCATGGGCTCCAGCGTGTGCAGTGGGGCAGCCCACATGTGTCCAAGGCTTGTCCGGAGAGGGCAGTTTCAAAGTGCTCTGCAGCCCAGGAAGTGAGTACAGGTAGGTGTATCAATACAGCTGGTAGAAACTCAGAAATCCAGCCTGCTTTTTGCACCTATATTGTAGGGCATGTTTTAGCTTGGCCTCTCCATGGTGTTAGTGGTGTTCCTGCATCCTCTGTTGGCTGATACCCTGAGTGGTTTGGGGTAGTGTAGTATCTCTGTCCCAGCTGGTGGGGAAAGGAAGAGACCTKAAAAACAGCAAACAAAATGCTAAGGCTGGACTTTCTGCAGTTYGTGCCCCATAGGTCAGTTTTGCTGCTAGAAACCAGCTCACCAGCTGATGCCCAGGTCCTAGGCTCTGTGGGGTCTCAAGGCCTCACACAGCTCATCGCCAGGGGCCAGTGCGTGGAAGAGGAGAGGCACCAGGGACAGCTGTGTCCACCGACCCATCCTGCTGTTGGGGTCAGCATTAGCAGGTGAGCACTACCTGCCTGTGTGTTCACACAGATAGTTACTCTTCCTGTGTGTGTGAGCAAGCACTAGTCTTGCCGGGAGGGCAAGAGGTTCTGCCCCAAGTGGAAGYGTGATTCATTCAAGTGCGGTCTTGAGGGTTGGAACGGTCATTTTAAACAGATGTAAATCTTGAGTTAACTCCACTGAAGGCAGAGCTAGGTGGCACAGAACTTTGTGCAAGTCTGAACAGACCAAACTAACTCAGAATTAAAAAATAAAGTAGCAGTGAATTAGCAGGGCACCTTAGGCTTGGCCAGTAGCAGAGTATCCGAGAAGCGTCTGGTCTGCACCTTGCAAGTGCTTGTCACTGAGCATAGCTGAGGAGGCAGCGAGGTCCCCTGAAGCCTTTGCCTGGTTCTGTCAAGGGCTCCAATAGCTGTGTGTCGTGTGGAAGTGTGTATGGGTTTTAATGATGTCTTAGAGGCAGAGCACCAGCAACTGGAGCCTCTATGTGTGGAACTGCAATATTAGATACACTGCTAGACATGTTATAGATATGGATCAGTTGTATGGGGAACGGCCATTACATGTCTCCTCATGTGTGCCATAAGCTATTAAATCAAGATTAATGGACATACTCTTCTGCAGCTTTGTTCTCTCGGGGCAGATTTATGTCCCCAGGTTGGTCCCATAAGCCCTGATGCTATACRTTACATTTCCTGCTGATTTTTAGTGTGGGAGTGTATAGTGTAAATGTCTCTCTCAGCCCTTTACAACAGGTAGCAGTGCCCTTTTTGGACAGAACTGTGCAACTCTGCTGCCAGGGTGTGGAAATGGTTGTTGGGGGATGATAAAGATCAGGATCTGCCTGTCCTTTTGACATGCTCGCTGCTCCCAGGGGTTAGCTGCATATCAAGCTGGACATCTCTGATGTTTACATGAGCCTGAAACAAGCACAGAGAGAAACCCTTCCTCTATTCTCTGCCCCTCTTTGTTGTTCCAGCTTTCAGACAAATTGTACACCTGATGAGTGCCCTATTCTCAGGCACTTCTGCATTCCTTTTTTTTTTTTTTTTTTTTTCCTGGCCTTTGTCAAAGGCCAGAAGAAAAAAGAAATGCAGAAGTGCCTGAGAACAGGTGTACCCCCAGTCTTTACTTTCTAGAATTGTTTCTTAATTTCTTTGTGTTCATTCTTTGGCTGGCCGCAGGCCTGTCTTGGCTTTGCCTTTGTGTCTTCCAGCTTCTCCAGGCTGATTGTCAGGTTCCTCTTCACAGCTTCAAGTTTTAGCCATTCTCCTCTTAAGCAAATGTTGCCCAGGCAAAGATGCTGCCTACTTCGAAAGGGCTTGCTGCCTTCTCTGATTTTGATTTTAGGGTGTTTGGTCTGCCTATACCTTGTGTCCTTGAGTTTGGCGCTGAGTATTACATGCGGTAGGTCACTGCAGTGTGATAGATTTCTTTTTCTTTTGATTGTCCACATTAATTACATCTCTTTACAAATACTGAGCAAGCTGTGGATCATCGCCAGCACAGCCTATCTTCAGCAATGTTGCTGCTCAGGAGTATGGGGTSCAGCTTCTCAAACTCATATGCAGGTTCTGCACTACTTTGTCTGTTCAGTAACTGTGTCCTTCCATAGCTTTAATAATCTGTCCATTAAAGCCAAGGATGTCGAGGGGAGATCTGTGAAGATAGATTCATGAACGACAAGGTGCATCATGATCTTATGATGCACAGGAGTGGAATCTTTTGTGGATGCTAAATGGTAAAACCTGGCATAAAAACTGGCCAATGCCTTGGCCTGTTTGCAACACAGGTCTGGAAGAAAGAGGTTTAAACACCCCATCCATTACTGTCCCGAAGACYGATCTTGTGTATGTTCTGGAGGTTTGGATTTTATAATTTTGGATTGACCTGGAAGCTTCWGAGTATTTCTGATTTTTGTCATTTTGAACAAATTCTGTTCTGATTTTGGTGTATGTATACATATGTGTCTGTTTCCTGTCGGACCTGGGATCTGTCTGTAGTTACCAATGCCAATTCTACAGACTTCTGAATCCCCCYACTTAAGCAGAGCCATCTCAAGCATGTTGCTCAGGGCTGTGTCCAGATGGATTTTGAGTGTCTCCAGAGCAGAGACGGCACAAGTTCTTAGGACAGCTCTTTCAGTCCTCAATTACACAGTAAAATATTTTTTTCCTTTTTATTTAGTCAGTATTTCCTGTGTTCCTGTATGTGCCTGTTGCTTCCCGTTCTGTCACAGGGCACCAACCAGTTTTGACAGAGCCATGTAATTAACTGATAACCACTGTGGCTTCCACATGCAGCTGCTGCCAGCCTCGCTGCGCAAGTAGCAAGTGGCACAAGCGTGCAGGAATGCGGATGATGTTGGTATCTCGTGGAAGTCACTGCAACCAGAGGAACCAAGCTGTGTGCTTCCTTTCACATGGGTGCTGCAGCAGGTGCAAAAATCAGCTTCTGGATGAATAACTGTAGCTATGGATGTATTTGCATGAGCAAGGCTACTAGACAGCCCTCCAAAGAGCCGTGTTTGCTTTTCCTCTTCCCTTCATAGGACTGGAAAAATGGCAATCACTTCATGTTCCTTAGTGACAGAATAGATGAGTGTGGTTTTCTAACTTGATAACTTAGCATCTTAGGCAAACATCTGAGCACCAGCACTTCTCAACTTCAGRCTGTAGCATTCTTCCTAGAGCTGTACTTAGGCACAATGTTTTTGAATGGCAGATTTGCTTAAGAATGCAGCTTTCCAGGGAGACCAGATCTACTTGATATGATGCAAAATCTCGAGAAAGGGAAAAAAAAAAGGGGGGGGGGGTTTAAAAAAAAAAGAGTCAAGGAAAAAAGTTTATGAAATTAAATAATTTTTCAGCTTGACTTATTTTTCTTTTCATGTAAAAGAAAAAGAGATTAGAGGATTTAATACATTAAAGATGTATTTGCCTGCCCCCGCCCCCCCCGCCCCCCCAAGCCAACCCCTTTAGTTTTTATTTCAAGTAGATTCAGTGGAAATGTCTTCTGTCCACRGTTGTTTTTTATTTGGCCGTTGAACCAGATAATCCAATATTTGCACAGCTCTCCCTGGAGCTGCGCAAAGAGGTAATGCTGTCATTATGATAGGTAGATCTCGGGAGACAACGTGGAAGCACAGGGCTGCTCGCAGAAGCTCCCTGGCCTTTAAGTGCTCGCTCTTGGATCTTCAGGATTTCCCTGCAGATCTCTGGGCTCTGCTGTAATAGAAAGGTTGAAGATCCTGCGCTTTCCCAAAGGAAGGCAGAAGGAAAATGCTATTCAGGAACAGGGCATGGAGTTCCTGGACTGTTCATGGGTATTTTTCCCCTAGGGGATGATAAGGCTTCTAGTGCTAAATGGCAGGGTTTTGTTCCTACGTATGAGATTTATTTTCTTTTTAGTTTGGATTTTGTTCTGAAAATGGGGTTCCATATATGGACAGATGTATATGGATGTATGTCCATCTTTCTGGCTGTTGATTCTTGCCTAGGTCAGTGTACCTCACTCTGACTGTCCAAAAATGCTTCTTCCTAATTAAATCCACCTTTCCTGTTTGCACTAAAGCATCCTTGGCTCACGGAAATGGCCTGACCTGTGAAATTGCCCACTTAGACAGGCAGCTTTTGCAGTTCACCCAGTTTACATAGGGAAATCAGATTTTTGCTTGGCTGGCTTAGATAGTCAGCAGTCTGAATTGTYGAAGCACATGCCCACTGGGATAAGCAACTGTAGATTTGGGACTTATAAAAGCCATTTGCAAAACTATAAACCAACCATGTCTCCACCCAAACCTGTCACTGTTGCTCAGATCTCCCAACAATTACAATCTAATTAGACCTGGCATTCAAAGTTGCCTCCAGCGTTTGAAACAAAAGTAATTTAGYGCTAATAAAAGTGGTAGATTGACAGCTCTGGAGGCTGAACTCAGTTTTTGCACAAAACATGCCCAAGTTGGGAAAGAGCTGCAGGAATTGCCACAGTGACTGTGAGAGGGCTTGACCCCTGCTGTGAAGTGGCAGCCTCCAAGGGATGAGCATATGGGTAATTTTCTACAGGTCTCTTTGCTGTCATTGCCAAGAGTGCTGCTCATTACTGGCAATAATTAGTATATTGTCTGTGGCATGAATACTTTTCCATTAGGAAAAACACCTGATTCTTTGTATGATAGCACTCCAATGCCCATCTTATAGTGGTGGTGTTTAGTAAGTAAAGAATTATTCTAGATTTGAACCACAGCCCGTGAGGTGAAAGGCTTTATCCCATTACGAGTCCCCTGAATCATTCAGTCTGCAGCGTGTGAGACACAGGGCTGTGATTACCAATTCATTTCATAAAGGCCAGCCATTTAAAATTCTCTCAAACTAGCAGCTGCTTGGGGAATGAAAAAGCACCTGGGTCTGGACAAATATCTTTTTCTTCTTCTGGGTTAATTTATAAAGAAAAACAACAATTCTTTCCTCTGACAAATGAGACTTTCAATCAGCGTTGAGCTATTGCTGCAGAAGGATAACCTGCCTTTGCTTACTTGACATATGGGATTCTTTCACTTCCAAAGGTGGGAGTCATGGTTAG